ATGCCAGACGATTTTACTCGTCCGGGGGAGAGTGCTGCCACTCAATGGGTTAATTCAGACCTAACTATAGGAGCAGCTGAGAAAAATGCTGTAGGTCCTCTGTCAGGAATTGTACCTGCGGCCCTGTGATTCCGGTGCAGTGTTCTAACTGAGCTGCAGAGTCTAGTTGTTGAGCTCTATATATACACAAACATGTGGTTAGAGCTTGACAACTGGTTTCTGTAGGCTGTAGCCAGTTCGGGTTAGAAGTAAAACCTTATAAAAAATCTGCATAACACAAGTTTAATGCTAAATCTAAAAGACTAATAACAGAAATTGAGACATACACTTTGTTCTTTGATTCATATTGCACAATGTTTAGCCCTGTAAGGGTGTGGTCATTTATGGGGAGGGGGAGTTGGCAAATGGGAGGCAGGGGGGGGGAGGAAAATTTTACCTTCAAATATCTATAGGTCCATAAATTAAAAGAAGCCAATTGAATGCTTAGTATTATTGTGATCTTTGGAACATTGCAACAAAATTTGCAAACTTCAGAACAAACTTCAGAACATTTTGCCGAAAGTTTTGTGAAATCAGTATAGGTGTATGATGCATCAAAATCCATTTTATTAAAATGTTCAGTTATGGAAAAGTAAATGTCTTTTGAAACAATTTGACCAACATGAAAAAACTAAAATAGCTGAATGTCTTGTATACATAATCAGCTTTTTTTCAGTCAGATTGGGGAGGGGGTAACTGAGCTTATACTTTAATAATCGTTATCAAGGGGAGGTGTCAAAAAGGTTGCCTTAAATCTTATTAAGGGAGGGGGAGCTTGAAAAGGTTTTCAACCACTATTTCCCCATCTTGCCAACCCCTCCCCATAATTCCATTAATAACGACCACTCCCGCTGTCTACATTTCCAATGTACTATTAAATCCCCTTTGTTTATGATGGTTTATCAATGTTCATGTGCAAGTTCATTTCAAAAATCATGATACTTATTAGTCTTCAGTTTGTGTGCCCTACTTTTGTGTTTTGTTTTATATTGTTTCTTTTCTTGTACTAAATTTATAGTATTCTACTATTCTTTATACATCATGACCGTCTCTCTTCCTTGACTAATGCTATCTGTTACTATCTTGAATCCTTCTTTTTCGAGAATAGCGATAACGAACATTTTCATCAATTTTGCTTTTGAATCTGTCCACAACGGTGCACTCCCCTTTCGCGTTATGACCAATTCCATAGTATTTAATAATGTTTCATAGCCTTTTTGCAAGTTGCAGTCTAGAAGATCTTGCATCTCGGACTTCACAGACAAATCTTCAATGAATTTTGTGTTACCCCGCACACACACACACGATTACAATCGATATTTATCTCGAGTTCCACGTACATTTTACTGCGAGGTGAATCAAAACCCTGTTCCAGAGGAGTTTTTCTCAAACTTTCTCAGAACTTTACTTTATAGAGTAATGGCGGATCTGATTCTGTACTTTAGGGACGGACCATTAGAAAAGTGATGGGGGCAAAACCAAAAAAAAATTATTCCCAGAAAAAAATTAGGGGGAAAAAAATTTTCCCAGGCATAGTGCAAAAAAAAATTCCTTCCTTGGAAGATAAGCCTATAAATTTTAATAAAAAAAATATATTTCCAGCCATCAAGTGAGAAAAAAAATATATTTCTTCTATAGGTGTACAAAAAAAATATATTGCTTCTTAGAAAATCCTCTCCATCACTTTTCTAATGGTCCGTCCCTTAGTGCTTTCTAAAGCTTTCTACGTATTCGCAACATTCACATTGCCACGTGTGGTTCTGCGCTGTAGGAGCTGCGCAGTACACTATTTTCCCATAAAATGAAAGGTGTGGATAATGTGGATAGCCTGGTCTTTATTCTGTGGCCTGGTCGCAGCGCGAAATTTCGTTCAAAGGAAAACACCAGAGAAAACACAAAAAGACTAAAAATGCAGATGCCTGATAAAAAGAATAAAATGCAGATGGCAGATAAAAAAAATAAAAATGCGGATGGCAGACAAAAAGAATAACATGTGGACGGCACATTGCAATGAAATTGTCAGAGTTTATGTTAATTTGTGCACAGTCACAGTAATTGAACTCATTGTATTTTCGTTTAATGAAGCAGAGGCATAGCCAGGCCTTTGGCTTTGTGTTATTCTAATTTCTATCAACGTTAATTAGAATGTATGTTCAAATCCCAGGAGCAAAGTAAGCAGCACAGAATTGAAATGCTAGTAAGCAGGAGAATTATATGCAACTAATTACAGTGTTTGCAGGGGTTTTTTATACACCCTGTATATGTCCAATGCAATAATCCCCTTTGTTTATGATGGTTTATCAATTAATCAATGTTGATAGTTTATCAAAAGATGTGGAAGTTCATTTCAAAAATCATAATACTTAGTCTTGAGTTTGTGTGCCCTACTTTTGTCTATTTATTGTTTCTTTTCTTGTACTATAAAATTAGTATCAGTATTATACTATTCTATGAACTCAACATGAGCATCTCTCTTCCCTGATCAATGCTAGTAGCAGCTACTATCTTGAATCCTTTTTTTTCGAGCAAAGCAATAATGTCCATTTTCATCAAATTTGTTTCTGAATCGGTCCACGATTTACCCTCTGACATCATGACCAATTCCTTAGTAAATGTTCCACCGTTTTCGTGCGAATGACAGTATTGAAGTAGTTTTTGCATCGCGGAGTTCACAATCAAATCATCATTAAAGAAGTCTTTGTTACACCGCACACACACACGATTACCAAGACCAGTACCAAGGATCATCTCGACTTCCACGTGCATTTTTACATATGTAAATTATTCTTCCAGAGGTAGAGGAATCTTTCTCAAACTTTCTCAGAACTTTACTTTCTGACGCATGCGCACAAAAAAACGAGGACGCGTCCTCAGTGTTTCCACTCCCCAAAAAATAATTTCTTTCTCGACAACCCGAAATTTCCTTTTTTTCCGCAAAATTTCCTTCCAAAAATTATTAAATATCCTTCCATTTTTCCTTCAAAATTTTTATCAAAATTGACAGATTTAACTGGCAATTAACATCTAAACTCTAGTAATGAAACACATTATATTAATTTATAGCAGATAACTTTGCATTTTGCAGGTTAAAATCAGCTCTTTGCCCCATCAATTCCCCCTGCCCCCCTCCCGGTTGCCCTGCCTGTCCTACATACTCCAGGACAGCATTTACGGCATCTTTTGCACAAAATTGTGTGAAAATTGGAAAATAGAATTTCCTTCTCATTTCTCTCCTTATAACAATATTTCCTCTTAATTTCCTTCCAAATAAAGGTTTTCCAAAGGCCAAAATTTCCTTCTGGAAGGAAATTTTCTTTCAAGTGGAAACGCTGCGCGTCCCATCCATGGCAACCTCGTCCCCAGGGTGTGCCCCATAGAAATATTAGACCTATCTATTAGACCTGTCTATTATTTCTATGGTGTGCCCATAGAGATTATAAATAACACTAGAGGAGGCATCGAGTTTAAAAATTGGGAACGCAGCTAATGAGGGGCAAATTCAAGTCCCGGATATAAAATCGTACTCTCATTGGCTGATTTGAAACCCGTCACCAATGGGAACACGAATACACATCCAGGACTTAAATTTGCCCCCCAATAGCCGCGTTCCCTTTTTTTGACTGAATTAAGATTACGATGCCTCCTCTAGTGTTATTTATAATCTCTATGGGTGTGCCAGGGTCTTCTTCGTACATGACTCACTGGTCCTATTCTTTGTTAGCAATGACGTAATTTTGGGATTTCAGTTGACCGGCAGGTATAACAAAAAACGGCTATTTTAATATATTGATCGAGTTTAGAGACAGTTTAAGACTCAAAAGATGTGTTCAGTTTTTCTTGCTACAAACATTCTGATAGAAGAAAAATCGTCCACAAGTTGTTTGATTGCGCAAACAAAGAATATCTATGGTTGCACACTCATGCATACCTGCCAAGTCTCACGATTTAATCGTGAGACTCACGATTTTTGATGCTTTCTCACGATTAAGTCCCCAAATCTCACGATTTGCGGAACTTGTGAAATCATCGAAAAGCGCAACATCTGGTTACAATTAGGCACACTCTTCCGAGGAAACATCATACTTTATTAATGCATTATTAATAATCGCAATATATAACGCCAGAATTTTGTATAGGTGATGTTTGTGTTACAAAGTAAAAGGCGTGTCCTGCTAAGTTTATTGTCCTGCTAGTATCACTCGTAATTTTCTTGCTTTTTTGTACAGTGGAAGCTACTAAAGCCATAAAGAAAAAACAGCCTATGCTTAATATTAAGCCTTGCATTTACGGTTATATTAACAAAATGTAACGCATACTATCCTAAGATTGAATATCTATTGATTATTTTCTAGTGTTGTTAAAGTTAACCCTGGTCATATCAATGAGAAAACCTGAAAATTTCTAAATCTCATGATTTTCCAGTCAATCTCACGACTTTTTAGATAGCAATTCACTATTTCTGCTACTCAAAGGTTGGCAGGTCTGCTCATGGCCTATTCTGTGCTTTCTACGCATTTGCATTGTCACGTGTTGTTCGTGCACTGTAGGAGCTGCACAGTACACTATTTTTCCATAAAACGCGGGTGCGGACCGTCCGTCCGCACCCGCGGATGAAATAAAATTGTCTGAGTTTATATTAATTTGTGCAACGGTCACAGTGATTGAACTCATTGTATTTTCGTATAAGTAGCCCAATAGGGATAGCTAAGGTGAAACGTGTAACCACGATGAATAATATTTAATGACGTTGAAACAAAGGATTTGTGCATGGAGAGATACCAGTTCAAAATAAAAAAGGGTTTTTTTATAGCTTTGAAGTTTGCCGGGCATCCAGACCATCATATATTGACACACTATGCCTGTCCTAACTCAGTTCTAACTCCTGTCTTAAACACTATCCTATAAATTCTAACCCAAATCCTTGAGACGTCATTTGTGAAGATAATATGGAAAAAAATTTTTTCTGCAAGTGTTCATCGTTAAGGCCTAATTCCACGACAAGCGAAATGCGAAAAATTTCGAGCGAAAACGCACTTGTGCGAAAATTTTCTCTCGTAGCGATTTCCACACTTGGAGAAAAAATTCGCCAAAACATAAGCATTTGATTGGTTTCGCTATTTTGTCATCCAAAAGACAAGCATTTGATTGGTTTCGCTATTTCCATTTCGCAAGGGAGTAGAAACGAATTCAACTACCCGGCCACAAAATAGAGAAGAGCAGAAGCTTCACTCGAGTCGGAACCTTTGAAGTTTTTGTGCCGGCACATGTTACTTCCGGATCCTGGCCGCCATGTTGAAAGCAACCAACTCTGGTCCAAAACATTATAAACTAATATGGCGAAACTTGTATTTCATAACTTTAAATGGGTATATCGTCGTTATTTTATGGTGGATGTCATTGAAATTTTCAGGACGTACAAAAGAAAGGTAGATTATTCATTTTATTATAATAAAAGTTTATTGAATGATGCTAAAATTGTCATTTTAAACGCAGCAAACTGTATGTGCTGTTTTGGCACCGATGGATATATACGCATTTATATGTTGTTTTTCTGAGTGTAGTTTGAAACTATTGCAACTACTAATCCACTTAACTTGAAGAAAAATGCGTCATGTCTTGTTTTTAGAACGCTGTAGGTTGAATTTTTTTAATTTTAGGCGCATATTATACTGTGAATATCCTTATAATTCGTACTACTATTCGTACTAAATTATATACCTGATCAGTGAAAGGGGATGTGATGTCTTTGTATTGGGCTTCTTTTCTTAATTAACAAAAACGTTTTTGGACTAAACTAAGTGAACTGCGCGAGTAGAATCCATTTTCACCAGAACTGGTTTATAATTTGTAACTTTGATATTAAACTTTGATTGCTGGTAACAGTAATGAGTACGATATTTGTTCACATCTGTATCAAGCAATTGATGGTGGAGCAGACTAACTTGCCAGAAGTTACAGTTCATGACCCAAAATTGCAACACACCAATCTCATGTAGATTTACTCAGCAAGCACCATCTTAATTAATGATTTCACCTGTTATCAATTACCATCGGCATTGTTAGGTTTACCATCTTAGTGAAGGAGCGAGACTAATTAAGCTCCAAAATAATAAAATATTGCACATTCAAACTGTGTAGCTCAGTCTGGAATGCATTGGTCTTGTAAACCAGGGGTTGTGGGCTGCATTCTTACTGTGGTAAAATTGATTTTTCAGCTTGCCTGGTATAAATTTACTCAGTGTAGCAACATATTAGTAATTTCTCCTGTGTATGATTACCATCAATATTAGATTTAACACCAGCCTTGTATCTTACAGTTCAGTTCTTATGTACTTGGTGTAAAAGATTTTAAGCAATATAACTTGTAGAAGTTATATTGATTAATTGTTTTGGCAACACAGCATATTGTCCAGTGCACATGGTTAAAGATGCGCTACCTTCAAATATTTTCTGTTCTTCTTTTTAGTGTTGGAAAGTTCACGATTGGCAAATTTCAAGCTGTAGTAAATGCACAACCTCAAAAACAATTTTTGTATCTTTCATGATGTAGTCCAGAAAGCAATTTGTTGGAACATGAAGACCTTCAAATGTGTTTTCTGTTTGATCAAAGGCCTTGAAGAAACAAAACTGCTTCCTGTTATCATCTAGGTCATTACATTGGATGGCATTTGTGCATGTAGGACAGTTGCAGATCTTAATAGATTTATGGATCTAAACTCAAATTTATGGATTGATAATATGGATAAAAAATATGGATTTATGGAACTAAAATCAAATCAAAGTGTTGTTTACATTTTGGGGTTGTACAACTTGTACATAGTAGAATACACTAGATGTTAAAGTTTCATTTACTTGGTTCCCTTTGTAAAAAACAACATCCGATTTGTTGCAAGTTGAAACCAGTTTTATTGCCTGATATATTTTACTCTGCCAACAAGTCTTAATAACTAAGGGGCTATTTACATGAGCCTGACTAGTCCTGTTAACCGAGGCACCCAGCTTAATACAAATAATTTAACAAGAATCTGCCTAGCCGAGATCTCACTTGAGTCAAAGGGGACGCCCGGATAACCAGGCTGGAATTTTCCCATGTAAAGTCACCAGCTCATGTAACCTGGCTAGCCAGGCCTTCAGCCTGGTTAACCGGGCCAGCCTACATGGCTACCCGGGCTCATGTAAACAACCCCTAAGGTGATAGCAACAATAATATACTTGTTGCTAAATGTAACATAAACTTGAGTAACAGAGAAAATTCTCATCTTCAGATTATTTTCCCCTCATTGTAGAGTAAGCTGTTAATATGTATCTTAAAAACTAGAGTGTATATTAGAATCTCACAGATTTATAATTTAAACTGTCATTAAGATAAATCAGGTCTTTTATTGTCTGTTTTGTAAATGAGGTTCCTTGATAATGTCAAAGGAGGCCTTGTCAGTTGTGACTTAATGACACACTTGTGATACCAAATTTGTAAAGTCACAGCTAAAGGATTTTAATAGGTTCAAGTCAATATATTATCCCTAAAATTTATTTTAGAAGAAGAAGTAGGTCTAGCAATTTCTTTCATATCGCAATATTATTTTATACGATTGCAGGCCAATATGCCAAGTTGAATTACACTGTATTGAATAGTTGATCACAGATTCACTGAAGGTCCGATGAACTGGATTTATTTCCCTCATTGTTATGGCATTCACGTCCTTAATCTTTCTGTACACCATGAAATATCACCAACTTATCACTCAAAACATATTTTACGGCGATCG